CATTGTCCAGTTCTCGCATGCAAAAGAGGTTACTGAAAATAACATAGCTTGGGTCAGGTGCATCTTAGTCTTCAAGGAGGTATCTTCGTTGTTCATCACTTGAAAGAGGTCTTTTGCAGTAGATTTGCCCAATAAAATACATCTTCTGATGTCTTGCTGCTTCCATTGGTATTGACTATAGAACCAAGTAATATGAAGTCGCCGTCAACTTCAATCTTTCATACATCCATCATGAAGCTGTTATTGGACCAGTTGTGAGGATTTTTGTTTTTTTTATATTGAGGTGTGTGTACTCCATGCTGCAGACTATAGTCTTTAATCTTTATCAGTCAGTGCTTCAAGTGGTCCTCAATTTCACCAAGCAAAGTTGTGTCATCTGTGTATCACAGGTTGTTAATGAGTTTTCCTCCAATCCTGATGCCACATTCTTCTTCATATAGTCCAGCTTCTCAAATTATTTGCTCAGCATACAGATTGAATAAGTACAATGAAAGGACCCTGACACACTCCCTTCTTGATTTTAAACCATGCAGTGTCCCCTTGTTCTGTTCAAATGACAGCCTCCTGATCTATGTACATGTTCCTCATGAGTACAATCAAGTGCTCTGGAATTCCCATTCTTCTCAATATTATCCATAATTTGTTATTATCCACACAATTGAATGCTTTTGCATGGTCAATAAACCACAAGTAAACATCTTTCTGGTATTTTTTGCTTTCAGCCAAGATGCACCTGACATCAGCAATGATATGCCTCATTCCACATCCTCTTCTGAATCCAGCTTGCATTTCTGGAAGCTCTCTGTCAATATACTGCTGCAACCATTTTTGAACTATCTTCAGTAAGATTTTTCTTGCATGCAATATTAATGATATTGTTCAAAATTTTCCACATTCTGTGGAACCACATTTCTTTGGAGTGGATACAAATATGGATCTCTTCCAGTCAATTAGCCAGGTAGCTATCTTCCAAATCCCTTGGCATAGACAAGTGAGTGCCTTCAGCAGGGCATCCATTTGTTGAAACGTATCAATGGATATTCCATCAATTCCTGGAGCCTTGTTCTTCACCAGTTTCTTCTGTGCAGCTTCAACTTCTTCCTTCAATACCATTGATTCTTGATCATATGTCACCTCCTAAAATGGATGAAGATGGACGATTGACTAGTGACTCTGTATGTTCCTTCCATCTCCTTTCAATGCTTCCTGAATCATTCAATATTTTTCCCATAGAATCTTTCAGTATTGCAACTCAAGGCTTAAATTTTTTCCTCAGTTCTTTCAGCTTGAGAAATGCCAAGTGTGTTCTTCCCTTTTGTTTTTCTAACTCTAGGTCTTTGTACATTTCATTATAGTAATTGGCTTTGTCTTCTTGAGCTGCTCTTTGAAACCTGTTCAGCTCTTTTATCTTG